GCTGTGGCAAACTCCTTACAATCAGCAAGGAGCGCCCAGCCTTGCTGCTTCCTAACTATGGGTTACTTATCAACAATCCTTGACCATCCTTGGATTGTAGATAGTGCAGTCCTTGCCTCCATTGTAACTTCTTTTATTTCCCTTTGTGTCTTCCTCGTGCATCTGTGTCTGTCTCTGCTGCTCTTGCAGAAACGCCACTCATACAACACTAAACATACATTCTGCTCCAGTTTGACCTCATCTTAACTAATTCACAGCCATGAACATCCTTTTTCCAAGTAAGATCACATTCTGAGACGCTAGAGTGAAGACATTCAACATGATTTCTGGAAGAACATAATTAAGCCCATAACACAACATTTTTTGAAAGGATCTGTGAAGACCATAACTGGAAAGTAGATAAAATCAGCCCAATTCTTTTACTCGATGTAAATAACTCTTCACTAAGAAAGACATGCATATGGATTTGTATTCTTGAAAACAAACCAACACCACCATAGAAGAACTATAGCAGGAATATCACTAAGGAATCAATTAACTGAAAGTGAAATACAATAATGAGTTATGAAATTTGAGATATGACTGGCTTTGGTAAATCATTGGCACATAAAAAAAAGATTAGACAATTGCTGTGACTCATGCCTTTAATCCTAGTTACTTAGGAGGCTGAGATCTGAGGACCACAGAAGAAAATTGGAAGTGGAACTGTGGCTCAAAGTGGTAGAGCGCTAGCCTTAAGTACAAAAGCTTAGGGACAGCATCCAAGCCCTGAGTTCAAATCTCATGACTGACAAAAAAAAATAGATTGAAAACTAGAATGCCATAATTATTAGAGTGGAGAGTAACTCATGGGATGGCTTTTATAATTTAATGTGTTATAATTTCATATATATGGAGAAAACTAGGGATTGCCATTGGATAGGGGCATTTTGTACAGATAAAGGAAAGTTGTAGAAATGATACAGTACTTACAGAAATGACCCTACTTTTAAATTTTTCTTTCATTCTATGTTGTTGGATACAGATTACATCTATGAGTATGGAAAAAATGTCAATTGCCAAACTGGACACTCTGATAAGAGGTCCCAATGTAAGTTCCCAACATTCCTTCAGTATTGGTCGTTCCTTCTTCCTGTCTTCCCAAAGTGAGCTTTGTGGGTTTGTGTTTCCTACTGGGTGGATAAGTCCATATGTTTATGAGTACAGAGGGTTATAGGAGGTAGATTTGAGATCTTCACTCTGTCGTGTTCTAACTATGCTATACAACCATCAGCAAAGTAGTCCAACACAAGACAGAATGTCTCAGGCTCTTGGACTATAAAATAGGAACCATTGTTCTAACTAACTAAAGCCTTCTGGGGATCCTACTGAGTATTTGAAAAAGCTATTCAAATCAGGACAGTAATCATAAGGCAGTTTCACATCATTCCAAAAAAAGGAAAAAATAATATTGATGTGGGATGTTTCCTGTTTCCAGTGTCTTATCCTAAAAAAGATCTTCAAATATTGTGATAACATGAATGGTAATTTATTCCTTATTTGAATTAGCTTAGAGCAAGAATATGCCAATTATATGATATAATTGGGTCTGAAAACTTACTCCCTGGAGTTTTTTTAACTTTTTCATTCTCTGTGTTTATGTTCCTAACTTTAATTTGTTGCAAATATTGGAATCCTCCCTGGCTCAACCCAAAACAAATTTAAATTGCCTTCCTGTGGTAATGGCTTGCCCTCTGAAGGATGATTCTAGAGCCGAAAATGTAGAGAAATAGATCACCATGAAAGTCTGGAGAAACTGTAGAAATCTTATACTTTTTTCTGATATTGAACTAGAAAATGTGGGTCTAAGTCAGAATACTTTCGATAACATCATCCATTAACTTTACCTGAGAAAGAAACTACGGGTAAGTGGAAACATGAGTCCAATAATTGCAGCACACTGCTTGCTACCTCATGTTACTTGTATTTCCTCAGTTTATCCTACAAGTAAGTTATTTCATCAGATTAGCATTATTTCTTTTAGGACATAGGACAAAGGAGCTATTAAAAACCAGTCTCAACACAAGGAAAGGAAACCTTCCTCAGGCTCAAAGGTATGTGAAATACATCCTATTCCATCTCCTGGTTTGTAAATATTCTTTCTTGGGAAAAAACAATTAGGAATAAATAATCATTTTATGCTTTAACTTGATATAGATGGTTATTGAACCATGTAGTTTTCATATTTAGTGTCATAGAGATGAATGTTACATTTTACATCATCTGATATTATTCACAACAAAGCTGTTAGGGAGGAATTGGCCCCTCTAAAGAAGAGATTGTAAGTCTGCATTTCATATCTAATTACTCTAAACTCAAGATCACATTGTTCTCTAAAAAAACATTTATTTTGTATGTACGTCCTCCAGGGTATAAGCCCTGCTTTCACTGTATTTGATGTTGATATAATTTGTGGAGAGGAAGGGAAAAACAAACTGTTTAAATAGGGTTACAGATGGACCCATTGCAACAATGAGATGTACAAGACATTATGTCGAAAAACGAACTTTACAACTTTGGCGGGATGGAGAGTGGGGTGGTGGGGAAGGGTTGTAGGGGGTGTGGGGGTGGGGGGCAGAGAGGGGAAGGGATGATATGGGGAAACAAAGGAGGAGGCAACAATGCTTGATGAGAAATGTACTCACTGTCTTGCCCATGTAATTGTAACCCCTCTGTATGGTATTTTCACAATAATAAGAAAATTTAAAAAAAAATTCTGACATAGGAAAAAAAAGAAATGTACTCATTATCTTTCCCATGTAATTGCAACCCCTCTGTACGGTATTTTCACAATTAAAAAAAAGAACAGAAAGAATAAAAAACATTTATTTTGTCTTGTCTTCTATTCCAGGAAACAGAAGGAACAGAATGTCTGGTACTCTTATGTAGAAACAACATTGAAAAACGGGGGCATTATCTCTTGTGTTCTTCAGTAGGTAAATACGTAACTTGACCAGCTATTATTGACCTATAATCTGCTGTAAAAAATTCTGTCTCAAATGTGTGCAAATGCAATATGATTGACCATAGCGAGGGCAAAAGTGTTTTGTTAAACATTTCTAGCCACTGAGATACAATATCAGCTGCATGGTTTTATTCAAAATAACTATTTGATTCAAATTATACAAGACACAAAAATAATCGCTATATTTAATATCTACATTCCTATATCTAAATTTTATGTAATTTAATAATAAATAAGCATGAAGTGCCTCTGCCATTAATACTTTCTGAGAGTACCTTGAACCATAATTACTATGATCACGCCACATATGTTTTGTACATGAGTGTGAATTTGGGTCTCTTATTCTTCTAATTGCAACTAAGCATGAACCAAGGATGCATCACATTTGTTTTAATTTCTTAAGTTTCTTGATTATGTTTAGTGGACATCATAACAATTAAACAGACAAAGCTAAGCAAGCACATAAAATCACCTAATGTCACAATGCTCACAAGAGACACAGCACAATTTTTTGGCAATTCATTTGGCTATGAAACTTAGGATGTTCAATGTATCCTATGTATTCTCAGAAAATCCGAAGACAAAATGAGGATTCACTTTCCCACCAAGTGAGCAATACAATTATGACTATTTGAGAAAGAAATATGGGGGATAAGGGAACCAAAGAATCTTTTCTTAGAAAGGATAAAGGGAAGAAGCATTAGATTCTTAAGACCTCCAGGGCATCAATCTTACATGGTTTTGTTTTGTTTTGGTGCCTGTCCCGGGGCTTGAACTCAGGGCTAGGACACTGGCCCCTAGCTTTTGGCTCAAGGTTAGTGGTCTACCAATTGAGCCACAGCTCCACTTCTGGCTTTTTGATGGTTAATTGGAGGTAAGCGTCTCATAGACTTCATTGCCTGGTCTGGTGTTGAACCACCAATGCTCAGATCTCAACCTCCTGAGTAGGTCAGATTACAGGAGTGAGCCACTGGCACTTGACCTTTACTTTTTTGTTTTGTTTTGCTTTGTTGTTTCTTTTTTATTTGTGGCTGAATAAAGACACAATTTTTTTAATCCTCGGATCAGTTGTAACTGAGCTCTATGAGAGATACAGGTTTAATGTTTTCAAACATTGTAATTTAAGTCAAGTTGAAATTACGTTCTTATACCATATCCTCTTGCTTTAAAATTCTTTCCTGTAATTCATATTTAAAATACAGTGGGGAAATATAAGATTTGGAAGTTGAAAAGGAACTATTACTTGGGAAAGAAAAGAGGTTGTGAAGAACGGGAAGGCAAGAGAAGATAGAAGGAGGGTGAAATGATAAAAGGACAATACATCTTTGTTAAATGTTACAAAGTAAAAACCATTAATTTTCACAGTTAATTCCACAATTAATTATAATAAGAAATTATGAGAGAAAAAACTATTGTAACTCATTAATGCCTAGCAAAATACATTTGTCTGCTAAATCCAGTCTGCTAGCCACTAATTTGCAGCTGAGAAGTCAAGAAATGGAGATCTTCTTTGGTACCAATAAGTACTTCTTTCTTAATTCTGGAAAAGTTAGGTTGGAATTCTTGCTCTAGTGGTCTAGGTTCCAGTAAGAAATCTGCCTACTGTTAAATTGTCAAACCCAAATACACAGATACAGGAACAAGAATTAAAATTCTTTTTAAAAAGTAACTCTTAGCTGAGCATCAATAGTTCATGCCTTTAATCCCAACTACCCAGAAAGTTGAGACCAGAAGGATCATGGTTACAAGCCAGTCCAGGCAGAAAAAAAGCATGAGACTCTATCACCAGTTTATCAGCAAAAAGCTAGGTGGAAGATTATGGCTCAAGTGGTAGAGCACTGGCTATGAGCAAAAAGAGACAAGCAAACTCAATACTCTGAGTTCAAACAGCAATACTGGCAAAATAAGTAAATGAAAGTATCTCTTGTAGATGTGATAATAATAGAGTTCTGTCCTAACACCCACAGAGTTCTCTTGAAAGACATGTACCTATAACATGGGAAGAGTCCATAATTCCACATTGACAGAATTTATCCTAGTGGGGCTTTCTGCTCACCCAAAGCTACAGACAGTTTTCTTTGTGCTTGTTTTGTGGATGTACCTAGTGATCCTGCTTGGCAATGGAGTCCTCATCTCCGTGATCATCTGTGATTGTCACCTGCACACTCCCATGTACTTCTTCCTCTGTAATCTTTCCTTCCTGGACATTTGTTACACAAGCTCCTCCGTCCCACTAATTCTTGACAGCTTCCTGACAGTAAAGAAAAAAGTCTCCTTCCCTGGATGCATGGTGCAAATGTTCCTCTCCTTTGCCATGGGGGCCACAGAATGTGTGCTTCTAGGTATGATGGCACTCGACCGCTATGTGGCCATCTGCAACCCACTGAGGTACTCTGTCATCATGACAAAAGGTGTCTATATGTCTATGGCAGCTGGTTCTTGGGCCATTGGACTTGTGGATTCAGTAGTGCAGACATCACTCACGATGCAACTGCCATTTTGTACTAATAATGTCATTCACCATTTTGTCTGTGAAATTCTGGCTCTGCTGAAACTGGCCTGTGCTGACATTTCCACCAATGTGATCAGCATGGCAGGGTCAAATCTGATTGTTCTGGTGATTCCAATACTAATCATTGCAGTCTCATACATTTTCATTGTTACAACTATCCTGAGGATCCCTTCTACTGAAGGAAAGCGTAAGGCCTTCTCTACCTGCTCAGCCCATGTGACAGTGGTGATCATATTCTATGGAACCATCTTCTTCATGTATGCAAAGCCCAAGTCTAAAACCAGTATTGGTGCAGAGAACCAAGACATTATTGATGTTTTCATCTCCCTCTTCTATGGAGTCGTTACCCCCATGCTCAATCCACTCATCTACAGTCTGCGGAACAGGGACGTAAAGGCGGCTCTTAAGGTTATGCTGGGTAGTAAAAACTTTTCCGATGAAGCATAAATACTGAGTTCCACTAGGATTTTAGTATTTGAAGTGGAGGGAAACACCAAATTTGGGAAGAAAAAAATGATTATGTGACTATAAATGCACAATGTGGTACATGAAATCGTGTAATATATTTGAGTTGCTGTTTTTGTGATCCTTTTTTTTGTTCTAGCTGTAGTTAGGGGACGTGTGAACTGTTGAAAATTTCTTAGGAAAACTCAACAAGAAAAAATATTCCCTGAAACTTTAGTAAAATAATAAAGGCTAAAGATGTTCTTACAAGTACTTTGTCCCATAACAAGTATACTATTAACTAGTGTACAGTGAATATTGGTTGATGGCATTCATTTTCATGTGTTCATTTATTTGTAGTTTGTGTTCACAATGCTGTAAGTTCCCAAGATAGGTTATCTGTTCATAACCCTATAGCTTCTGATAGAATTATACCAGAAGCTGCAACAGAACACATACAAAATACATATTTTTCATAAATACATGAGCCACCTCATGTATAAAATCAGACATGTTTTCTGCCATATTTGAAATGATATATATAATCCTTATCTACTCAGGAGGCTGGGTAGCTCCATAGTTTCATGCCAGTCTCCTCAGTAAAGTTGAAAGACTCTTTATCTCCAAGTAAACAGCAAAACACCAAAGTGGAGGTGTGGCTCAAATGGTAGAATACCAGTCCTGAGCAAAAGAGCCAAGGTAGAGGAAAAGGTCCTGAATTTAAGTCCCACTTCCAGCACAAAAATCCAGTTACTTCTCAGAATAGTAATCTAAGGCATGTGAAATCATGAGAAAGGCTACCTAAGATGCTATAACTTTGATTAGTAGAGAAAAGCAAGCATTTTAGGATGGAGCCTAGAAACCATCTGAGAGAGTATACTTAAATTTACTGAGAACTGCCTGCAGCTAAAACCGCAAGTTAATTGATCAGCAAAGGATTCAAGTGCTTTGATGTTTCACTGTATCAATCACTGTAGGATTTTTTCAATCTTAATCTCAAGCTTTTGTTACTCTTTGCAGCATGTATTCTTTTGTACTTTGTATCATTGATGCTAATTATTAATCAATAATTAATAAATGGCAAGAAAATTTAGCAGTCTCAGCCATATTTTACCTTGGCATTTTATTAAAGATATTAATTGGATAATTACATGAATATAGGATATTATACTAATACTCCAATTATTACAGAAGCCATGAATAAGTTACTTCAATCTAGAATCTTATTGAGAAACTCATACATATTCTTAGAATCACAAACAATGGATAATTGCGAATAGGAACAAGGGCTTTAACAAAAGGAAAATTAGTAAATAAATCTATGATCATGTACTTTCATTATAAAATACTTTAAGAATTGTTCATTTATTAATGGAGGCAGAAAAGCTTTCTAGTTAAGGATCTACTATGTATTAAAACAATTTGGATTTCAATCTGATGTTCTCGTCTACCTTACCAATTTTCATGTGAGTGATTAAACTTCTGAACCTCAGTTTTCTCATTTAGCATGAGGATTAAACATGCAATCTTTTCACCCACATTTCAGCACATTTCTTTTATGCTAGAGCAAGAGTGCTTAGTTCTTCGAGCCATGAAGCAATTGGAGTATGGAGAGTTCTTTTATAAATAGGTTTCCTTGAGCTAATGGTAGATCTTTGAGCTGAGAGGGGATGCTAGATTGCTGGCACTCAGCCAATATGTGGAGATGAACATTTAAATTTTAATGATGGAAATTCAATTTGATTCTGGGAATAACAGGGTCCTTAAAGCAAATATTGTATGTAGTGCCTTCTCAGTGTATGATAAATGTGGAATGACCTTTAATAACCCCACCCTACTTTTTATGAATGGAAGAAGTACAACCACTAACAGGAGAGGCAATTAGGCTGTCCAATGGGTAGAAAGAAAAGCTTAGAAAAAAGTATATCAAGCAAAGTAAGCCAGACTCAGGGAAACACAAGTTGCATGGTTTCCTTCATCTGTAGTAGTTAGAATGTGCCTATAAATGTATAAGTAAGCACACTGTGTCTTATACAAGTGGTTACAAAAGAATTGACTGAAGTAGACTCTATGGAGAACACAAATAGTGTAGTTCCTCAAGACTAAGTTAAAACCCAACAAAATAAGTACCAAGGAATGGGTACTAGTAAGAGGGAAGAGTGGAGCTAAGGGGAGAGAGGTAGGCAAGAATGCAGGCAAGAATTCATTATATATATGTATATATAATAAATATTAAATATTTTATATAATACATAATATATATCACAGAACTGAGCAACATTAAGGGAAAGGGAGGTGAAGATATTGAAGTAAAGAGACAGATCAAGGTGCATTAAATACATAATACATAATAAATAAAGGCTAAAAAGAGAATATCCATATTCTAGGAAAGGAAATCAAAGATATCATAGATGTTACCATGGAGAATGAGGGTGCTGAACCATGACTTAGTCATGGCCCCAATGGGAAGAACTTTACTAAACAAAACTCCTTTGTTCAGTCACACTTACAATAAATCCAGAGTTGTTATAATATTGGTGGGACTCTGAACTATGATAAAAAGAACAATTACTTTCCTGAGACAGGAAAGGTCAATTCTTTTGATGGTCTCTGGACAACATTCATATTTCATACTACAGATTAATGAGAAGTGAAGCAGCCACATTACTAATTAGTGTTTTCTGTATTTCATACAAGGGAACCACTCCACATTATGCTGCAGATACATTTAATCCTCTACATGTATTATGTAGAACCCAAAAAATTCATCTAGACCACCCTAGATGACAAATGTGGTAAGTAGTTCAGCTGAGATTAGAGCGCTACTCAATAGACTTTAATATTCATACACCCATCATCTCCACCACAGGGCTCCATTTTTAAATTTATTGTTTTTGGTATTGACCAGTTGATACTTCCCCTCTTGAGTAAAATGTTCATAAAAGTTTTCAGTTCTTTGTTACATTGACCCATAGAAACCATAATGCTTCAAAAGAGGCCAGCATAGGAAGGCACCATTTTCTTTCTACTTGTTATCTCAGAGACTAGTAAGCTCCTCCCACAGGAATACAAAGTATAGTCTAGTATTTATACCTGAGCAGGAAACTACATCTCAGAGGACATCATTAAAAAGTTTACTGACCTACTTCTATCTGTTATCATGGTACAAATAAGTTACACAGAGCTGGGATCCCATGTGCCTGTTAGTCTAAAACCAAGCTTGTTAAGGTGAACTTGTTAACTTTTTAACAACACTTTTCCTTACACGAGTTTTCTGGAGGGAATCTGAAGAGGATCCTAAGAGATTGATTTCTCCTCTTTAGTTATAGCTTACCAGAAAAACAATATATGATCGCATCAAGTGGAAAATTCTAAAAACGTAGACACAATTCCCTGAAAAGACAGTTTTCCACGTCCCGCCATCAACACACAATTCAGAAATGCTTATGTCCTGAATTTTAATTTGTTGCAAGTAATCTTCCTGGTAGGAACTTTCCCTGGCTTACCCTCAAAAGAATTTAAATTGCCTTCATGTGTTATTGGCTGGTTCTCTGGAGGTAATTCTGGAACCCCAAATGTAGACAAACATAATATTGAGGCCCTAAGAAATTATAGACGTTTTATACTTTTTTCTGAGATTGAATTAGAAACTTTGAGCCCGAGAGAATATTTTTAGTAATATCATCTATGAGTTTTACTGAGCAGTAAATTACAGGTTAAGTAGGAAATTTGAATAAAATAATTACAGCACATTGCTTGCTTAGTTATAGTTCCTCAGTTTATCCTGGCAATTACTACAAAAAATTAAGAATATTTCTTTTAGTTCATAGAGCAAAAGGGCTGTGAAGGAAGATCAGTCTCAGCACAAGTAAAGAAAAACTCCTTTGGGATAGAGATACAAAAATTACTTCCTATTGCACTTTCTTGTATTGTGAATATTCTTTCTCAAATTACAAATAAGTTTTTATATGCATTAGATTAATACATTTATTATTTTGATTATGAGGCTTTCATCATTTTGGGTGATAAGTTTTTCTATTATATCTTAGGCCATCAAAGATGTGGTCTAAAATACATATGTATACTGTCTGCATTTCAAATTTGATTACTCTAAACTCAAGTTCAATATTCTTTTCCAATTTCACATCTGCCTCTTCAAGAGAATTTACTTAGCCTATTTTCCCCTCCCACTAGCAGGAAGAATACGCATTGTATTCCTCTGACTGATGCTATTACCTAGAAACATCTTGTAAAATATGTGCTTTATCTCTCCTTTTCTCCAGTGTTCAACTAGAACTCTGTAACTGAATCTATAATCTACAGAAAAACATTAATTTTCTGTCTCAAATGTGTGGAGCTATAATGTAACTGTCTGACTATAACCATGACATCAATATTGGAAAAAATTAATAGCTGCAATATCAAATCACTTGCATGGTTATATTGATTCAAATTATATAAGACAAAACTTATTGCTCTATCTAAATGCGAATGTAATTCATATTACACACAAGTTTCTATTAATATGAATAAACATAAACCACTTCTTCCATGCATACTTTCTGGATGTTCCTTGAACCAGGTTTATTGTGATCAGTTCCTCTTTAATGTTGATATTCTTTGCCCAAGAATATGATTTTGTGTCTGTCTAATTGTAACTAATTATGATCCAAGAAAGAATCAAATGTTTAATTTCCTAGTCTCTACATAAACTTATATGTAATAAGAAATGAACTTGACCCAGACTAAATGAACCTGTGTAATCTCAAATATATAAGCAAAAGAAGCTAGAGACTTTATCCAATTTTACAGATCTCAGAAAAAGGGCAGCATTGTTATTATTTTAGCTCATATACATTTGATTAAAATGGGGTTATATAGGAATTCGATTGCAAGAAACCAGCCACATTTGAGAGGTTGAATTGGGAGTCTTTATTACAAAGCCACGTGACTGCAGGTGGACTCCTGTCTCAAAGACCTACAGCCCAGAATGTAACTTGCCT